AAAAAAAAAAAAAAATGACCCTCAGCACAGCTGGCCGTGCTCCACTCAGAGAAGCAACATGCACACAGCCACCAGCGTGGGAAATGAGTTCACCTGGACAACTCCCCGAATCTCATCTAGTGACACCTACCTCTCTGGTATGAAAAGTGGGGGCCCAGGGCGCCTGGGTGGCTCAGCTGGTTAGGTGACTGCCTTTGGCTCAGGTCATGACAGCAGAGTCCCGGGATCGAGTCCCGCATCGGGCTCCCGGCTCAACGGGGAGTCTGCTTCTCCCTCTGACCCTACCTCCTCTTGTGCTTTCCCTCAAATAAATAAGTAAAATAAAATCTTAAAAAAAAAAAAGAAAGAAAAGTGGGGGCCTGGAGAAAACTGGGAAGGGTTCACTAGGATATCAACAGTCTTCCTCTTTCCCCCAACCCTAGCCTAACTCTGGCCCTTTCCTCGGTGGGGGTCACAAGCAGTTGACCTGGACATGAGGTCACAGATCTCGTCTCTCAAGAGGCACTGTGCTCTGCACACTGCTGGGGTCAACTTGGCTCACACTGACCCTGGCTTGGCAAGACCCCAGGGAGCTTGGCAGTAGAGTTACCTCAACCTGTTGAACCCTTCCTCTTTGTACAAATGGGGGTGCTGAGGCCAGAGCCACAGTCTCAACTAACCTCTGGGAGGAGACCCTAGAGTCCTGCCTCCTCCAGGAAAGCATATGACGCCTTTCAGATGCTCTCTGGTGGCCTGTTGCCTAGAGGAGTTCCTACCACCCACCGGCCTCTTGCCCAGGGATCCCGCAGGGTCCATGCAAGGTGGAGTGAGTTTCGGGGGTGGGAGTGCACAGAGTACCCAGAGCAGTGCTCACCGCATAAAAATCTCAGCAATCCGGAACCCGATCCCAGAGCCACCACCTGGGATGAAGGCCACTTTGTCCCTAAAAAAACAGGAGGCACTTTAAAGAGATAGGTCCCTAGTTTCTAACAAACAGACCAAAATACACACAGGATCCAGTGTATTGCTGTGTTCTGTTCACCTGTCTGATGATATTCTCTCTCTCACTCTCCTTTTTTTTTTTTTTCTGTTTTGGGTCTCTTCTGATTTATTTAGTGCATAGTTCTCTGGAGTCGTTGTTGCCATTTTAGTATTTTGTTCTCTCTTTCATCTATTCTTCTCTGGACAGAAAGACAAGATGGAAAAACTCACCTCAAAAAAGAGAACAAGAGGCAGTGCTCACTGCCAGGGATCTAATCAATATGGACATAAGTAAGATGTCAGAACGAGAGTTCAGAATGACAATTATAAAGATACTACCTAGGCTTAAAAAAAGCATAGAAGACACTAGAGAATCCCTTTCTGGAGAAATAAAAGAGCTAAAATCCAAACAAGTCAAAATCAAAAAAGGCTATTAACGAGACGCAACCAAAAATGGAGGCTCTACCTGCTAGAATACATGATGTAAAAGAGAGAATTAGTGACAAGACAAAATGATGGGGAATAAAGAAACTGAGAAAGAGATAAACAACTACTGGATCATGAGGGTTGAATTTGAGAGATAAGGTATACCATAAAGTGAAACAATCTTAGAATAATTGGGATCCCAGAAGAAGAAGAAAGAGAGAGAGGAGCAGAAGGTATATGGGAGCAAATAATAGCTGAGAACTTCCATAATCTGGGGAAGGATCCAAGTCCAGAAGGCACAGAGAACCCTCCTCAAAATCAATAAAAAAACAGGTCAACACCCCAACATAGAATAGTGAAGCTTGCAAATCTCAGAGACAAAGAGAAAATCCTGGAAGCAGCTTGGGACAAGAGGTCCATAACCTATAAGGGTAGAAACATTAGATTGGAAGCAGACCTATCCACAGAGACCTGGCAGGCCAGAAAGGACTGGCATGATATATTCAGGGCGCTAAATGAGAAAAATACGTAGCCAAGAACACTTAATCCAGCAAGGATGTCATTCAAAATAGAAGGAGGGATAAAAAGCTTCCAAGACAAACAGAAACTAAAAGAATCTGTGATCACTAAACCAGCCCTGCAAGAAATATTAAAGGGGATCCTTTAAGTGAAGAGAAAGCCCAAAAGTAACAGAGACCAGAAAGGAACAGAGACAACCTACTGGAAGAGTGACTTTACAGGTAACATGATAGCACTAAATTAATATCTTTCAACAGTTACCCTGAATGTAAATGGGCTAAATGCCCCAACCAAAACACATGGGGGACCAGACTGGATAAAAAAAACAAGACCCATGGATATGCTGCTTACAAGAGACTCATTTTAAACCCAAGGCACCTCCAGATTGAAAGTGAGGGGGTGCAAAACTATTTATCATGCTAATGGACATAAAAGAAAACTGGGGTTGGGATGCCTGGGTGGGGGCATCCAGGGCATCCACTACCAACCATCTGAGGATGGTTAAGTGTCTGCCTTCGGCTCAGGTCATGATCCTGGGATCGAGCCTCACATCTGGCTCCTTCCTTGGTGGGGAGACTGTTTCTCCTTCTGTCTGCTGCTCACTCTCGAGAGAGCACACGCTCTCTCTCGCTCTCTCTCTCTGACAAATAAATAAAGAAAATCTTAAAAAAAAAAAAGAAAGAAAGCTGGAGTAGCAGTCCTTATATCAGACAAATTAGATTTTAAGTCAAAGACTTTAAGGAGGTGAGGAAGGACACTATATCATAATTAAAAGGTCTATCCAACAAGAAACAATTGTAAATATTTATGCCCCTAACATGGAAACAGCCAATTATATAAGGCAATTAATAACAAAATTAGAGAAACACATTGGTACTAATACAATAATAGTAGGGGACTTTAACACTCCACTCACTGTAATGGCCAGATCATCTATGCAAAAGAACAACAAGGAAATAAGGGCTTTGAATCGACATTCCTCTTGAGTAAACATGGAACAGTCTACAGAAGAGGTCACATACTGGGTCACAAATCAGGTCTCAACCGGTACCAAAAGACTAGGATCATTCCCTGCATATTTTCAGACCACAGTGCTTTGAAACTTGAACTCAATTACAAGAGGAAATATGGAAAGAACTCAAATACATGGAGGTTAAAGAGCATCCTACTAAAGAATGAATGGGTCAACGAGGAAATTAAAGAAGAATTTGAAAAAATCATAGAAACAAGTGAAAATAAAAACACAACTGTTCAAAACCTTTGGGATGCAGAAAAGGCGTTCCTAAGAGGGAAGTATATAGCAATACAAGCATTTCTCAAGAGGGGCACCTGGGTGGCTCAGTGGGTTAAGCATCTGCCTTCAGTTCAGGTCATGATCCCAGGGTCCTGGGATCGAGCCCTGTGTTGGGCTCCCTGCTCAGTGCCTGCCACTCCCCCTGATTGTGCTCTCTCACTCTGCCAAATAAATAAATAAATAAATAAATGAGTGAATAAATAAATAAATAAAATCTTCAAAAACAAGCCTTTTTCAGGAAACAAGAAAGGTCTCAAATATGCAACCTAACCTTACACCTAAAGAAGCTGGAGAAAGAATAGCAAATAAAGCCTAAACCCAGCAGGAGAAGAGAAATAATAAAGATCAGAGCAGAAATCAATGAACTAGAAACCAAAAGAACAGTAAAACAGATCAACGAACTGGGAGCCGGTTCTTGAAAGAGTTAATAAGATTGATATACCCCTGGCCAGACTTATCAAAAAGAAAAGAGAAAGGATCAAACAAATAAAATCATGAATGAAAGAGGAGAGATCACAACCAACACCAAAGAAATACAACATTATGAGCAACTATATGCCAACAAATTAGACAATCTGGAAGAAATGGATGCATTCCTAGAGATGTATAAGCTACCAAAACTGAACCAGGAAGAAATAGAAAACCTGAACAGACCCATAACCAGCAAGGAAATTGAAGCAGTAATCAAAAATCTCCCAACAAACAAGAGCCCAGGGCCAGATGGCTTCCCAGGGGAATTCTACCAAACATTTAAAGAAGAATTAATACCTA